TTCTGTCTGAAGGCAGATCGCCCAGTGCTGCACGCTTACACCTCACCTTGCACGGGTGTGACTGGGAGCAAGGGAATGGCAGACACGGCTGCGTTGGAGTCTGCTGCAGCTCCTTGCTTTGCTCTTCAGTCACAAACCGGTTTTAGAGCAGAAAGAGACTCTGGCCCCAGATTTCTAAGAAAATGCAGAAAGTGGTCTAATAAGAAAAACAGTCAAACAGTTCCAACTGAAGACCATTTGCTGACCTCAAGACCTGCGGTCCCCAGCTCACCCACAAAGGTCTATCGTAACCCATTTCCCTCCTCCTACTAACTTTGGCTGCTCACAGCAACACCAGGTAGCCTCTTAAAGAAACTCTCAGGTAGTTTTTCCCATTGCTCCCCAGTTCTTACCATGTCCCTGCCTGGCGGCACAGAAGCACGAAGCTCCTGGGACAGCTCCGACCCTGAGCACCACTTTGCAGGCAATAGGAACTTCTACACGTAAGCAAGTTTCCCACATTTTTAGAGGTCAGGGATTTTTTTTTTTTTTTTTTTTTAAATCTGGCTGAAAGCCGTGTTCTGCTGGCAGCAGAGGGCAGCAAAGGCCTGCCAGGGCAGGGCTGCGCCCCAGGAGCAAAGAGCCTAAATAAGAAACCTGGGAAGAGAAGCCATGTGGGCGGGTGGCAGTGGTTTTACAGTTATTTAAAATTCATGAATTTGCTCTTTTGAAATTCATTAGATCCTGAAAGTGCTGTACTGCCTCTAGTTTGTCTTTGAGCAGCCCTAGTTCCTTGCCGTGGCAGAGAGGCTGTAGCCAGCACAAGGTTGCAGCAGAAATGGAGCCACGGGCTCTGCCTAAAACTCAGCAGCCCAATTCTCCTCTCATGTGCCGTTTTATCAAGGCAGCCCCTATTGCAATGGGAACTTCAAGCTGTTGATATTGAACTTCATCTGTTGTCATCAAAGTTTCTATTACTCCTGAAGCGCAAATCCTGGGAAACCTTTTTTTTTCTTCCTGGATTATAGATAGAAAGACAATGTGGGGGAGAGCAGGCTCCAAGCAGCGGGAGGCAGGGCCTTCAAATACAGCAGCAGACGGAGGAGGGTGCCCAAATTGCCATTGCAGTGGGGTAATAGTAGCCACATGTAAAGTTCACAGCAAGGCTGTGACAACTCCGGGGCTGGCAAGCAGGGACAGGCAGGTCCACGGGACAGAGCCCGAAGGAAAACCCAAGGGTTGTGCCCTGCCGTGGGAGCAGACTTCAGCTGTGGGTGGGAACGGAAGGGCTCAACACCCTGGTCCCGTGGGCGAGGGGAGCTGTAACCCCTGCGGCAGGAGCTGCAACCAATGCTCCAGAGACAAGGCAGAAATAGCTCTGCTAACAATTAGTCCTAAAGCAAAGGTTTTAAAGGTCAAACAGCCACTAGCATCGAAGTGCTGTGTTTCTGCACCGCAAAGCATTTGGAGATGTGGGAGAAAATTGTCCAAGTGAGTCAACCGCGTTCCCCAGCAACAAGTTGCGTGACTTGCAACTGCCTGAAGTAAAAGACCAACTGAAAGCAAACAAGATCACAGCAGAAGAGCTATGATTGCCCAGTCAGTGAACCAGGCCTACAACAAATCCATAATATTGTATATTTTATTTAAATTAACAAAACTACATGTTTTCCAGGTTGCTTAAAGCATTCTGTAAAAACTGAATTCAACCTAAACAAAAAAGGATATATTTTAGTAAGACCCAGGGACTATTTCCGAGACATATGAGTAGGGTTTAGGAATTAAGAAATAAAAAAACCACACACGCACACACGCACACATACACGCGCCTCGTAAACAAATTGTTAGTGTTTGACACAAAATTTGGTTTTAAAGCTGCAATTCCCCATTTGTAAGGAGCCTTTACAAAATGCAATGCTATACTAAGCTGTAAAAGAAACCATGGACACATCTATCGGAACAACATAAATATCATGTAAGAACCCAACGTAAAAAGGATGTTAAAGTTGCAAAGTCGAGCACTCAGCCAGGAACATGCTGGAGTTACGATGATGTGCGTTAATTTAATTCACTTTGTGACTGAAAAACTACTGCAAGTAGGAGCGTTGCTTGGACCTAGTAGCACTTGTTTTCCTTATGTAAATTGCTCACAAGTTACATTTTGCCATCCGTGTTGAAGGTGCAATCCCAGCACTTACTCCACACACAGTAAGTGTGCCCCCTCCTTTTTCTATTTTATTTTCTTTTAAACCACATTTCCTTTCAGTACAGGGGCATTGTCATCCCACTTTACAAAAAAACAGCCAAATTTATAAAAAATGTTCCAGTTCAAGTATCCAAAAATCACCCAAAACTACCTCCTTAAGTAGTGTTCAGCACTTTCTGTGCTACAGTGACTTCAGACGCTGGGACACAGCAGCACGCGAGGGACCTCACCCGGAGCGATGCATTCGGCGTTCCTCGACTCTGACCCTGCGTCCTGGCTGAGACGCTGCCAGGGGCAGGGGGAGCTGGGGACCCCAGTGAGGGCGAACAGAACAATGAACAGAATTGCTTTCTCTTAAGAAAATCCTATAGTAGCTCCAATTAACAAAAACAACTAACAAAAGTAGCTCCAATTAACAAAAACAGAGCAGCCCTTCTGCAAACAGGGTCTGCCCGGCGTGCCGCACCCGGAGACCCATTCGATGGTGCAAAACTGGGGGTTCCCAGCAACCAAAGGGATGCAAGATTATCTACACTACCCTCTCTTTCTTCATAGTGCTGAGCTCTAATAAATGGTATTTTAAATGCTACTTTACAGAGTGCCATTCTTACTGGGATCGTAACAGCCCAGCACCTCCTGGTGCGATTCGTTTGGCGCAGTCAGCAGCCCCAGTGAGAAATCCCTTCTGGGACAGGCTGGGAGGAGACGGGGTGCCCGGCCCTACACGTGGCCGAGGGGCAGTCGCTAGCCTTCTGGCCCCATTCCCTGGTGGACTGGGAAAATAAGGAGGAATTACTTGAACGCCTCACCCCAGCTGAAGTATTGACTTGTCTCAAGGGGAAGGGAAAGCAAAAGGCAAGGAAAGTCGGTGCTGTATTTGGGTACTAACATGCTTGAAATGGTGACAGGGATGGTTAGAGCTGAACTGAGCTGCGCCCCTGGAGCTGCAGCCCCCTGCAAACAGTGGGGTGGGTGCACAGGGCAGCCAGGGACGGGCATCACCCAGTATGAGCTGTTTGCTGGGGTGCGAACCATGATGCACCAGCACCTCCTGGTGCAAACAGAGCCCTAGCTGCATAGCCTCAACTCCTGCCCAGAGCCCCAAACTCACGTGCAAACCCGAAAGTGACAGTAAAGCCAGCATGCAATGGGCTTTAATTGCATGTCATAATGCATACATTGGCTAGAGATGGATTAAGGTTTCATAGGTGATCTCACTTCTGGTATTTCCCAATTATACTTTCATTTCGCAGCCTTAATACCATTGATGTGTAAGTTCAGAAGTTTTAAGAACCCAAGGACAATGTGTCCCTTCTTCCAGAACAGTGCTTCTACCAGTACCTGTGATGACTGCCTGTCAGCAGCTTTGGAAGCTTCCCCTCTCTCCCTAATCTCTGACCCTTCGGCAACAGACAGCAGTACTAGATTCTTATCTTTTAGGGACAAAACTGGGAGGCTGAGTTACCTGTTACTAGCAGTTAACACAGACATTTTACTAGTGCCAGCTAATGAGGATCCTCCAGGCCGTGGAGGGTGTGCCCTGAGCAGCACAGACCCTTCTGGCCATGCTTCTTCCTGCACATGCCATTAACACTTCTCTTAACTGGTCCCCAGCATGGTCCAATTTAAGCCTCCACCCCAAATCAGTTCCCAGTCCCCTCGCACTGCCAGGAGTCTCACAGCCAGACCTGCCCAGGCACAGCATGGGGGTGAGCAACCTCATCGTCTGCTTTTGCTCTGAAAAGCAAATATCCACATTAGTGCGTGACAAGTGAATTTTTCCAAGTCTGATAATCCCTGGAAGAATCCAGCTCTGCCAAGCGTGCTCCATCCCGGCAGTGCAAGGAGGAGCAGGATTGCCCGGCGTCCTCTGCCCAGCTCACAAGCATGGGAACAGAGAACACACCGTCCCTCCTGTGGCCTCTCTCTTCTCCCCATGGCACGTAAGCAGCATAAAAATGAAGGAGCTGTAACAAAAAAGTAAGATGGAGGAGGACAACAAAAGCGAGGGTAGCCAAAGGGGCTGAGAATAGGCAGGAGCTGGCTGCGGGACCTCTGGGAACTCGGGACAGGAGCACTCCTTTCTCCTGCAACTCAGCTCAGGCATCCAGTTTTTACATTCCCCTATATTTAACAAACAGCTGTAAAACCTACTGAGAAAGCATGTTGCTGCTTCTACTAAAACCTTATGTATTACAAACAGTCTACTCCCTTCCCCAGCTGCGTTTCATTCAAGTGACAGGTTTGCTGCAGAGTTACAGGGCTGTACTAAAGACCTCAAACAAGGTTCAATAGACTTACAGATGGTGGAATTAAACTTTTCTAAAATGAGGCTTTAGTTCCCCCCCCCGCCAACCCCTTGTTTAAAGTTATTACAGATGGTGGAATTAAACTTCTCTAAAATGAGGCTTTAGTTCCCCCCCCCCGCCAACCCCTTGTTTAAAGTTGCACACAAGCAGAAAACTCCAAGTACTGAATACGTGCTCACTGACTGAGCTCCCTGCACCACCTTTATGCACAGGCACACGGTAGCCAAATAAAAACTGCCCAATGTCAGCCGCCCTTCCTAACTTCTGAACGTGCGACTTTGCAACCTTAATGCTTTTCTAGCAGGTTTTTACGTGCTTGAGTGTAACACAATATATATATCCCTCCCCCCAGAAATAACTACACCATATTAAAGAGTTTACAAATGTTCTGCTCGGTGTCACGGCTCTGTGAAAACACACTAGCTACGGGGTGCTCGAGAAGCGAGTTAGGTCAGAGAGGTCTCTTTCCTCTGCTCTCCACCCCGGTCTGGGTCCCAGCTGAGGCCATCTCAGTGTTACTGCTGAGCCTCCTTGCGAGCCAGCTTATAAACCTCCGTCGGCCCATCCACGTGGGTGATGGTGGTGGTGAGCTGAAGCTCTTCCCCACTGTTTACTCCCAGGTCACCTGAGAAACAAAGTTATTTTGTTAGCCTGGTCTCACAATAAAATATTTGACAATTAGAAAGCAAAAAATTTGTTTTATTCCCTCCAGGTTCTCAGGACCTACCTGAGCTATGGACTATGCAACATTTCTATAAATGCTTTTATTTACAGTTATTTAAATACAAGGATATCAGTAAAGGACGATTTCTGTGCTACTGATAAAGACTACTGATAAAGGAAACCAACAGCATCGCCATTCTCCACTTGCCCAGATTTCTATTTTCTCCTTTCCTCGTCCCTCCATTTGAGCTACACAATTACAACTGGGCAATGCTAAAAAGTACAAAAATAATCTCGAAGGTTTTAGACAGCCTTGGCTAAATACTCAAACTTGTCTAACCTGGTCAATTAATTAAAATGTCTGCTAGGAAAACCAAACAATCATTTGCATAACATTTCAATGTGCTGAACATGTACTTTGGCCAAAAAAAAAAAAAAAAAAAAAAGAGCACAAAAGATATCACCCATTTTATATTGCTTTCTTCCCGTGACAGCCTTCAGATCATTTAGAGGCATATACCATTCGACTGGTCTTCACCATAATTCTTGTGCGATGGCGCATACAGGAACATCAGGGCGAAGACGTAGAGGTTCCACATCCCGTAGATGCCAGTGAAGAAGGCGCTGTTCACTTGTATCGTTATGTCCCCCCACTTCCAGTGGCCTTCGGTCACCTGCCCGGGAGAAAGCAGACACGCACGGGCTGATCAGTAAGACCAAATTCTGTAAAAATACAGAAGTGATCCCCTAAAGCAATAACTTGGAGTAAATCAACAAGAACAGCGTCAATTCAACAGGGTCGAGTAAATGGAGTATAACAGATTCAGCGATGCAGAAGTCAGGCTAGGATTCTCCTCTTTAGCCTCAATCTGCAGGAAAAAAATGGTCCTTACAAAACGATTGCATTGGGATTTCTTTAACTTTGATTTATCATTCTTAAATGTGACAAAATCTCTCATATTCTGCGATATATCCCTGCCGTAACTGATGCATTCAGCAACGATTGCCACATAAAGGGCAGTACCCAGGAGACAACTAGTTACATCTGAAAACATTAGACTTCTATAAATAGACCTTTTATAGAAGGAAAACCAGCATGAATAATACGAAGAGCTGATGCGCTGAATGCCGCCTCGCTGCTTGTCTTACGAGAGGGGCCTAGGCTGACAGCATCAGCCTTAGACACACAGAGGTTTGTCAAGATTTATGAAAATATCATCAATCTTAATATTATTTGAATCATCAATATTAATATTACTTGAAGACACACAGACTGTTCACACTGAAATGTTGGCTTTCCATTAAAGAAAAAGACATAAGGGAGAAAGACGAAAGCTAAACTAGCTTGAAAAGAGTAGCTGAATAAGATTGTGTTATGCCCATACGCGGTGACGGTTACGGTCATCAGCACTCAATGATGAATCAAATTGCCAAGTGGCATTTCTCAAACCATTGCTTCAGTCTAACAGGTTTTTAAGAGCAAAATCATCTGCTGTTGTATTTTGCATTGGGACACACCAGTACCCCAAAGCGTAAGTGGTGCGGCGAGGGAGAAACGGCTCCTGCACCCGTAATTCTGCACTACTGGACTTGCTAGGCTGTACCCACAGTTCTCCTGAAGCTACAAGCTGCCTATGCTTAGCAGCAACCAGAAATGACATCTCTGAAACAGACAAAATCTTAAAAGTCACTTGGAGTAAACCATCAAAGTATATTTAAGTAGCGATATCAGCTCATTTGTACAGAGACACTGCATCAGAGCTCAGAATAAATAGCTATAGATACTGTTTGAAACAGCAGGGTTGCAAAGTCAACCCAGGGAAGACTGAATTCTGTTATTTCTCTGTGGGCATACACAGACACCGGATTCTTTCAATGTGAACAGAACATTTTCCCTCTTGCTGAATTCTCAGAAATGACTAAACTGTGTTGGCTGATATTTCAAACAGCACAGCCCCGAACCTTACTGTGAGCCAAAGGCCTTTGCGAAGCATTCAGCCTGAGCAATTTTATAGCAGTGCTTCAAACAAATGAAAACAACTTGTTAAAAAGCAACTTATCAAATCTGCTTATAACAGGCATGCTTTCTCTGAACAGCAAGTGAGCCGACGTCGTTAGTGGCTAGGGAGTCGGAGGCGAATGTTCTCAGAGGAAGCCGAGTTTCGTCACTCACCTGGCTCACGATGAAGAAGATGACCGTCATCGCTGCACAAGCCAGGGTAATGAGCATCAGGAACTTGAACCTAAAAATCAGCCCCTGTTTAGAGAGAAATGTCACTGGTCACATTAACAGAATCCACAAAACCCATTTTTGTTTTTAGTATATACAAGACACAAGCATTAAAAAAAAAAAAGCAAAGAAAAAAAAAAGGGTCCAACCCACGAAACCCCAAAGCAAAACAACCTCCACCCACTCCTCCGCGCCGTGTTCACGACAGCCCATATTCTCCGCTCCCCACACGTCTGCATTCCTCCCGGATGCTCCGAGCGGGGTGTGCATGTCTGGACAGCTCTGGCTTTCCATTACATTTGCTTTTGTGACTGATATACCAAGAGTTAATGTGGAAGAGGCGGCAGGTCAGTGTAAGCCATGGGTTTCACCAGGAGCCAGCCTGATAGCTCATAGCTTTTGTAAAACAAACATCTGTGGAGAGCTCGCATGGCTTAGCAAGACTACGCGTGGGTACTGGGTCCGGACCAGACTAATCCTCACCTCCAGAGTCTGTCTGGGAAGAAACTGCAGCGATTCTCAAAGCTTGTCAAAACTACACTGGCTGTTACCGGAGAATGTAGGTTATAAGACAAGCTAAGGCTCAAGATCACTTGGTTGGGAATCTGACTGCATACCGTACTTGCTTTCACTAGTTTTACGTTTTTACTTACAAATGCTTTTGGTTTTGTTTTTGTGTGTGTGTTGTTTTTTTTAACCTGTTTCTGGAATTTTGGTGGAAATGTCAGTGTCTGCGTAATTACTATGCCACACTGCGACAACAAATGACTATTAATTTAACTCTTCCAGATCAAATTCATGCTTGCCAGGTATTTGTATGTAGAGCACGGCTGCAGCAGCTCTACGATACAAGCTGAAGTCCTGCGCCTCTTGCTAAAAGGGAAGATGGAAAAAAATGCTCAATATCTTATTCAAATTCTCTCAAGTCCAATTTTCTATTTTTTTTAATGTGCATTCCTGATGGGTGACAATGGACTTGTTTAAATCAGAAGTGACCATCATTTAACAGAACAACATCGGTGATAAATATTTACACACCCATGGAAACAACAGGTGCTCCCAGCTTAAGCACTTAATGTGAGCTCCCCATGTTTTGCAGCAGTTAACGGCAGCTAGGACAGAAACAACATACAAAATCACAGTCTAAAAACAGGGACAATGGGCTGAATATGCCACATTTTGATCCTAGCGGGACCGTTTCCCTCCTGCAACTTGGTTAGGAAAAGACAACCCCAAAAAATCTGAATTCACACCATGGAAAAACAGGGTGGTCTTACACTTTCCATTAAACACAATAATTAATATTACAGGAGGAGAAATGGAGGTATGGGGAACTGATGTGCTTACAACCCATAGTAATTTACACGGTAATTTGGGCAATTTTCTTCTATTCTCCAACACTGTTCAGTAAGCTGGGAGATGGCAACTACTCATAGAAAAGGAGAGCCAGCTTACATACCCTCCTGACAGTTTAAAATACTTAGCTGGGACTAAAGACCCAAATAAAGATGAAACATCACGACAGTCAAACAAAAAGGCATTTAGGGGATTTGAGCAACACAAGAAAGCCGATAAAGATCAGATCGTCCAATTCAGAACTACATGGATAGAGAAGGTCTCAGTATAGACTTTGAGGTCAAAAATGCATTTTAAGAATAAAGAATCTGCGCAACAAGGAGGGACGTTACCTCGTAATGAAGGCGGCGAGCCTTGCTCATGGCTGGGAGGCTTGACTGCTTTCCACTGATGTTTCTGAACACTTGGAAGACCATAAAACACAGGAAGAGAAAATAGAGACACAAGCAGATTCCTGCGACTATAATAAAGGCCATCTGGGCAGTCCAAGTTAAGAGAAAATTGTATGAGCTAAAAAGAAATAATAGAAAACATTATTCAGGCGATTCATTTATTTTAATATCATACCAAGGATCATAATTAAACTTCTAGCAGGCAGCAATCACTCAGGACGGCAGCCTGCCCATGAGCGAGGCAGCGCTGGATGAGCCCTTGGCTTGCTGGGGAGCAGGGGCTCCGATGTCCCCCCGGGCTCAGCACGGCAGCGAGGAGGGATAACACACCAAAATGCCTGCCCGTTCGAAATCTGCAGAGATTTGGGAAGCCGTCGCCAACCAGCGTGATCTTCAGAGAGGCTCCTGCAAGAGGGCTGGGTGCCGCGGAAGGGGGACTCATCGCATTAGCTTATCTCAGCCCAGTAATCAGAATTAATGGCAGTGAAAGCAAGCCCTTCCCGCGGGACCTGAAAGGGCAATTCATGGAAATGCCTCAGCAACGTGTGCCCGAGTAATGGCAGCAAACGGAGGGTCCTGGAGCAGATGCCATCGCAGCTGGGGCTGGGGGGGAAGCAGAACAGGCAGAGCACTGGCTCTGGGGTTATCATGATGACAGCCAGGACTAAATCCCCCGTGCTTCCCCCCAAATCTCAGACATCTTGAGAAGTTCAGTTCTCCAGTGACTTCCCCAAGCACAGCACCAGTCCCTGCCGGTACCCAGCACCAAACCTGCCAGGACTGCTTCTTCCAAACGACACTGGCATCTCCCTGCAGCGCCTGAGCCCCACCTCACAGTCCCAGCCTGCCAAAAGGAGGAGGGTTTTCCCACACCCCGCAGGTATCTGGCAGGAGGGGAACACCTCCCTCTCCTACTAACACAGACTGAGCCTGCCCTGAGCCGGTTGGAAGGATACCGCCAGCTCCGTGCCAACTTCGGTGGTCCAGATGCTGTAGAAGGGGTTCTTCAGCTGCACTCCCCTGCAAAGAGGAGAGAAAACACCGAGCTGCCACAGAAGCCAACAAGCTCAGAGAGCCCTGTGCCTGCTTTGCAGCCTGGAAAGAGCTGGCCACACTGCTCTCCCGTGCGGGTGAGGATGAGATGAGGTGGGAGGTGTTTCTTTACGGCCCTATGGGACAAGATACGCTGCTGGGCAACACCAGCGTGCTTCAGTGCACTCACAGGAGCCTCTCCTCGCTTCACGAGATGGGGCTGTGCATCCAGCCATGGGGGTTAAAATGCTGGCCCCTGCTGCAGGAGGTGCACAGGGAAGGCTCACCCTGGGAGCAGCACTGAACCTACCTCTCGCACATGTCAAAGATGAAGAGGCAGAAGGAGCCAACAGCTATAGGTCCAACCTGCTTCCAGTACCCCGCGAGACGATTCCGCTCGTTCTGGTCCTAATGGAGGGTCAAGAGGTGGGGAGGAGGAAAAGAAAAAGGAAAAGCAAGTTAGCCTGAAGTCCTCTCACCTGGAGCAAGTCCCCACAGCATTGTTTCCAACACTCAGTAAGCACAAGGGAGTTGCCAGGTACCGCTGCAAGTGGGGTTGGAAACCACCTTCCCTTCTGTGTTGTACCCACCATCATGTGCTCCCCACAGAAGATGATCCAAAACGACAGGAGCATGGCATAGAAAATGCCTTGTCGAATGTCTCCAAAGAGCAACATCCAAGTCCAGTCGAATCCGATGGAAAACCACTCCACGGGAATGTTAATGAACGTCATGGAAATTCCCAGAGCAAAGATGACCCTGGAGAGGCAGAAACACCATCTCTTTCCAGTTTGCAAGGCAAGGACACAGAGCCCCAGAAACCAAAGCTGTGCATGAAAAGCAACAGAAGAAAATCTGGCACTGTTTGGGCAATGGCGGTGGGCTATCACCTCCTGCCAGCAAACCCTCTGGGGCTAAGCCCCTCTGAACAGCCATGGGCAAATGCAGATACTCATTCTCTATGGGTTTAATGGGAAAGAAAAGAGAAGCTATGGACGTCTCCTGCTCCCAGTGTGCCTGGGTGGAGGGAGGGGGACAGAGAAGAGACCATCCCTATCTCCCCAAACACGGGCTCTGCCAGGGAGCAGTGTCCCCCTCGGTCAGGGTCCTCTTGCTTGAGGGTCACCTTACCCAGCACGTGAGCCCCTACTCACTTTTCCAGCAGGACAGGAGCGCGTGTCATCAGCGTGATCCGTCTCCAGTACCAGACCATGATAATTAAAATGCTGGGGGTGAGGAAAGTCTTCATGGCAAACCACACTTTTGTAAAGCCTCCATTTTGATGGATGCCCTAAGGAAAACCAAGGTGGAATGCAACAGCTGTACAAGGTTTAACATCATTACTCTGTGCTTCTGCTTACAGGAGGGAGCTGACAGGAGAGGCACGTACAGGGCAGTACATGTAAGCACATATAGATGCAACTACTCTTCGAAGGACGCAGTTTGCCCAACACAGGAAAGGGAGCAGGTGCCTACTTAGCACCCAGGCCACCTGAGGAGGCTTCAAAAGTCCTGAAAACAGATGCCAACACACGCAGCTTCCATTGCGAGGTAGAGAGCAGTTGAGAGAGGGGCACTCTGACACAGCGTGGAAAAAGCTGGCAGAATTGCTCTCAGACAAGAAACAAGACACTCGTGAAGCGAAGTCACCACTGATGGGAAACGCATCAGCCAAATTAACACATTTCTCCAGACACACATCCTCCCACTGCCGTTTGCTGCCACCACAGCTGGCTGGCTCGCTGCTTCTGCCGAGAGGGATGGTCGTGGGAGGTTTTCCAGCTGGGAAAAGCACCCATGGCTACCAAGCCTCACAGGAGGGCAGGAGCAGGGATAGCTGAGAGCCATCTCAAACATCTCCATGGCGATGGCCAACTCCAAGACAGACCAGGTCCCTGCAAACCCTGCTGTTCTGCTCCTCCTTAGCTCCTATCTGCGAGAGGCGGGGCTTAATCACATGGAAGACTCTGCACCCAAGCCAGACTGTGGTGGGGAGGAGAGGACAGAGGGGAGCTCTTGGAGCCATGGGAAGAGCCCAGCTCTGGAGGTGATCACCGGGCAGTGCAGGATGATGGCACTGCTCAAGGCTCCTCAGAAGAGAGCAGTCAAAGAGGGCATCCCTCAGGAAGGAAGAAAGGCACATTTGCAGGCAGGAGCTACCTGTGATGAAGAGTAGGACGTTTGCTGTGGATCAAAGAGGAGATCAAGAAAGGAGCTGCAGCAGCCCCAGGGCAGATGCCCCTGCTGACCGCAGCATCGCAGGCACTCTCCTGGGAGGCAGTGAGCGCGGACAAAAGCAAGACGGACACTTACCACAAGGCGGATATCCTTGATTTCCCCAATGCCCACGTTAATGCCCTTCCTCTCGTTCACGGGGAGACGGATGTTGATGAGGTAGTACTTGTGAGCCACGCTGCCGATCTCCATGAAGGGAAGGAAATCACAGTCGTAGTGACGGCCTTCAGACTCCAGGGTCTAGCGAAAGGGCACAGAGCAGCGAGATGGTCAGCCTCGGACGGACCAACATGCCTTCCATGGTGAGGGTCTGCAAAAGCCCTAACGCTGAACATAGCTGGGACCATTGCTAGCACTGGTCTAGCCTGTTTGCTAATTCCAATCCTCACCTGGGGAGAGTCTCTGCAAGGCTGGAGAACATTAGTGGTTTGGGGGCATTTTTGCTCAAGTTTTTGATTGTTTTGGGTCATTGAGTCAATCGCATTTGACCTCAGGCAGGTTCACGTCTGAGGCTTTTAAATATATTTCAAGTCAAGGGAGCCCTTTCAAGATGAAAGGCTACTTTGGGATCCAAGCTTCCTCCCTCAGCAAGCACCACTTGAGCCAAAACAAAATACGCAACCCTCTCACACATGTCTTGATGTTGAGTTTCTTAAGTCCTGTTTTACTAGCAATACTCTCCTCTGCACTTCGTATGTATTTACTGCATATATGTGGCTGTATGCAAGAGTACAGGTGCTACTGGAGACATAAGGGGGTTGCTGAAAGGGACTGCAAAATGGGAGAACAAGACACAGAACTGAAAAACATGGCATGGTAAAGAGACACCAGATTAATTTAAGCACGGGAATTACAGTCTGCAGCACAAGAAGAAACATCTTTATTTAAACAAGATGCTTTGCTCTCAACTGCTAGCTGTGCTCTCTGCTCCTAAGCTTTGTAGCTTGAGGCATTAAGAAGTTATTTTAAGAAACTCTTGCCCCACCTCTCCAGGTTCTTTGAGTGCTGCAGGGTCCCTGGTGGGCTATTTCCTCACCACTCTTGAAGAACAAGGTTTTGTCCATCACAGAAGCACAAGGTGGAAAGGTCCAAGTTCTCTAGGATGGTTTGGGGTATATAGATCTCAAAGCATTCAAGTTCCAGCCTCATCAGAACTGCAGAGGACAATTCTGCTTGCACCTGGATCTGTGTGTTGACCTCACACCTTTTCTTCCTTACAGTTTTAAGTCCACCTTCAATTTCATCCCCTTCTCTTCTATCACCAAACAGAACCACTTGCATGTGGAGCTTATCAGGTTTTCAAAGATTTTGAGCCAAGAGAAAGCTGACACATTTGAAAGTTATGATTGAACAACCCAGAGCTTCTAGGAAGCACCATGAAGGAAAGGAAGAGGAAAACTCCCACCACACTCCCACACCTCCCCACCTCCAGCATCGTCAAAACACCTTACTTTTGGTGAGCCAAAGGTGCATTTCAGCTTCCTGATCTCTATTGCATGTGCTATTTCTTCCCAATCATCAAACATGTCATCGCGATACGCTAATGACACATCCAGGGTAATTTCTGCGTTTTCTTCTGCAAGAGTAAGGAAACATCAGGCTTGTTAGAGAGGAATGGTACAGAACATCAGAAGGGTGGAAGAGCCTCTAGACACTGAAAGGACCTCTGAGAGGCACGCAGCTACGGAGGGGAATGGAAATTTTTGCGTTCCAAACAATACAGATCAAATTACCTTTTTCAGAACATTTATCTCCTCTCTAGCAGAGAGGAAAGAACTTTTACTGGTCATAAAAGTCTGATATCTTTCTAACATATGACTTACAGCTTATATTACGGTTGTGGGTGAAGAGCATTATTTATTCATATAGCATTAGAAACAATAATTCATATAAAACTGGAACCTAGACAGCTGCAGAGACAAACAGTAGACCAGAAAGCCATCCAGCAGCCTCTTCACCACCGGTTGGCAGAGGAACAATAAGACAGGCTTCAACATAGACTTTCTGCAAGTAATGCAAAGGTGTGCAATAGGGCCTTCTGCTTCGGGAAGTAACTATATTGCATCATAGGTTTTGCTTTAAATTGACATGGAAATAGTACTGTTACAGAAAACCACAAAAAGGATAAAGTATACAACTGTATATACTGTATACATAGTTAGATGAAGCCTATAAAGGAGAAACCATGCAACTAATAGTACGTTTTGTTCATTTGGACATGATAACAGAAGTCATCTATCAATGTAACCTTAGGTTTCTTCTGGCTGTAGGTTCACCATCCATAAACATTGAATCCCAACGTCTTGAATAAAAAAAGTCTAGAATATGCCGCCTTAACAAAGATGTTTTCTACCAGAGAGATTTTAAATGAAAGAAACAAAAAGGGAAAAGTCAAAATGCATCACCAGAATCCCAAATCACTTTACACTTGCCCATACCTAGGATACTCTGCTCTTAAAAGATAAGCTGGAGTTCCCAGGATAAAAAGAAAACTCTACACAAAGTTCCTTTAAAAAGAAAACAAAAAAATGAAGTTTAGCTATGCTGGCCTTGCTGGAAAAAGGGATGGCCTATAACCTCAGAAATGAGGAGTTGATGTTTTCTATATGTATTGTTTAACTTAAGTCATTCTACATAAGACTTTTGAAGCCCTCCCTTCCATGCGCACGCCCCACAGCAGCATTGGTTTGTTTCTGCCTTTACAGATGCACCGATTTGCACGTCAGTAAACACACACAAGAGTTTATACACCCAGGTAAGGTCACCACATCAAATTTGTGTGGAAACTGTCAGCTCATCCTCTCCTGGACATGTTCACGGTAGGAGTAAGGGGTGTGACTGCTTTTAAATGTGCTCTTACTAGGATGCTGCCAAGAAGTCATTGCTGCAAGAAGGAAATGGGGCTGGAACAGACTTACTTAGGTGCCATTACTGAGCAAGTTCATGAAATTGAGAGTTACAGTTGAAGCCTACCAAGCAGCAACACATAAACATGCTTTAAAAACCCCAGGCAAGTCTGTACCAGCTCTACCAGATGTAAAATCCTCCTATTTACCAGGCACAGATCCCAGGAAAGGCTCTGAAAGAGGAACACATTCTGAAACAAATATGTGCGTGCTACAACCTAGCCTCTTTTCATAGGTCACCAAACTCCGAGAGCTGCAGATGTTGGAAAAGTGTTGGAAGATGGCTACAGAACCATCTGTCGTGGAGAAGTGTTGGAAGATGGCTACAGAACCACTTGTGCCGGTGTCGAAGTACCATGCTCTCAGTGCAAACAGCTCACGCTTGCAAGCTCCCTGCAGCGCGCTGTGGCACGCTCCTGAGCTCAGGAGGTCAGAAACGCCTCTGCAGATCTAAGCTCACACACACACATTCCATCAGGGCTGCGTCACTGCATAGGCAGACACGGTATGCGCTCTGTCCTGCAAGGATGCGGAAGGCGTACACGATGCCAACGCCCATAGCTTTTCACCAGGATCAGCCTGTATGACAACAGGGCTTGCCTGCTCTCACAGCAGCAGCCTGCGCGTGGGAACGGGCTGCCAAGACACATCAATACTTGATGAGCTTTGAAGCTCAGCTCCGAAAAAAATCTGGTCTTCATAATTGTGAAGGGAGGCTGTTTCATGTCTACAAGCAAGAATGTGTCTTTCAAGCGCTGCATGTCCCATATATTTGTCATTTTTTTCAGTTATATTTTTGTTGGGAATATGTGGTGGCATACTCATCCAAAATGATGGGAAGGGGGGTGGATGGTATCTGTGGTTTAGACTTGCTATTTATACAGTGTTTGGAGGTGGCTCTGTTATGCCTTAATGTGGATGCATCAAGATTTTTCTAAGTATTTTTTTTTTTTTTTTGCACACGTGATCTATACCATCCAGATTGATATCAAGTTCTTTTCCACAGCAGCCCTTAGTTAGGTTTCCATGAAACATGAATTTGCCATCTCAGATCCACTATTTAGAAGACCAGCAAAACAGATAAATGGGAACATAAGGTTAAACTTGGCCCGGCTAAAAAGAACTACAAACTTCATTTCAGAAGCCATAAAACCAACTGGAATGCTTGGGATTAAATCCAACAAAAACAGCTTTCATTATTTCATCTTTGCAATCCAAATGTTGCTGCTGCCATCAAGTATGAAAACCAGAAGGCAGAAGATATACTAGTGTGTGCCTTTCCAGACCAATGGATTAGAATCTCCCTCCAGATTTCCACCAGTCTCTGCATCAGGGTAACATCTACCATTAGAACAGAGTTTTGTACAAAGACCCTTCAAGACTGTCAAGGTAAAGTACATATATATGTATGTATACATACAGACATATACACACACACATATATATATGTATTTCAGCACAGCAGACTGATACTCCTATGCCAGTCCACTCTCAGCCTTTCATTAGCAGTCCCCATCGTCCAAGAGGAACAAATAAGGACAGTGACACGCTGTTTGGCAGGGAACTGAATTTTAAGAAGATTTGTGACTTATTCACATTAATACCAAAATGTCAGATGGTGAATAGACAATTTGGGGGTAAGTGCCCTTTTCGTGCACAGCATTAACACTCCTAAGTCCTCTGAATCCTAAGGGCAGGCTATGTGCCTGTGCATGCACACGTGCATGAGGGGACGAAGGAGAGAAGCAGCAGCTGATGTTCCACCATGCTTGGCTTCAAGATAAAAGAAAGGTGTTTTAAAGCAGTGTTATTTACCATCAAAACAGTGGATGGGAGGAGTGAACAGGAGGCAAGAGACTGACAGTCAAGCCAGTTTTTACTTCTGGAAGTGCTGAGAGAGAGCAGAGTATTTTAATTACTCACGGCTGAGCCACAGCAGAAGAGGAAGAATACACACAAGGAAGGAAGAGAAAAAGCTACTGCAAACCTGTGCTCAGCTTTCCAGATGCTAACATGTTCGAGGAAAAAAATTCAGTTCCTCCACGCATGTTAATCAAGATTCTCCAGAATTTCCCAATATTAAAAGGTAGAAATAAGTACGTAGAAATTTCTGTCTTATTCAGTATGAAGAGATGAAATTGCCCATGCCAAGAAACTTCATTTCACAAGGACTGTGTCAGAGCATCTCTTCATGGCATGCTCCAGATTAACCTTGCCTTCACAGATCTTGAAGATAACATCTAGAGAATTTGGAGCCTGGTAAATCCCCTCTGATATTAGCAGCTCGAGCACCGAGTGACAACCTCACTAGTATCATAGGATTATATTAAAAACCCTACAGAAATAAGACAGGTTTGTTTCGATGATTATGCGTTCCAGGGATGACCAACGAGGAGAAGACACACTCCTGCCAGGGTTCCCAGCTTTGAGCTTTCTCAATGACTCTCCATTCGCAGGGCTATGAGATGCTCCGAAGCAGGTCAGAGCTATCACCCCCCTATAGCGAGGGTCTCCCCTGTACCTGTCATGCTCCGAGCACCACCAATATATTTTTTCACCTTGGCATTTTATTGCCAGACATTCAGTGCCCAAGATCTTTTCCATGATTCACTTTATAGTGTGATATTAGCAAAGGGTATCTTCACTCACATTACAATAGTCTAAAAATAGAGAAGTTGTTTCAGAAGATGGCTCTGTGCCAGCTGCATACTAATACAGCTGTCTGGAAAGAAGCCTATGCAAGCAAACAGAAGAAATGCTAGAATTATTTGCATTACACTGCCATGCTTCACCAGCTCTCTAAAATTACAAAACCTACCAAAGAGACCAAAATTGGATGAATTTGAAGAGGAGTCTGCAGTACTCAGCCATCCGACTATACACAATTCCTTTCCAACTGCAAAGAAACCAGAAGCCATTCTCACTTACTAACATTTAAAGTTCACTACATATAAAAAGAGAAGAAAGCAAGGGGTTTTTTTCAGACCCCTCCATACTGTTACGCCATCTGATAAATAAAGGCGTCATTCTCCAATGCCCAGCACTTGTACTCCTCAGGGACACTGCATTCCTAGATGTCAATTAAATACTAAGCAATTTTACTACTAATACTTTTCCACAAGGTGAAACTGAGGCAGGAAAAGCCCAGCTCTGGGGGCTCCTGAAGCCTGTGGCAGTCGGAGAGCGAGCAGCCTCCAGGTCCCTGCTCCAGCTAAGGACAGATACCAGTGAATTATTTCTTGGCACGTAGAAGGTCGTGCTGCAAAGCAGCTCAGAGAGAAGGACTAATGTTCCCTGTTAAGAACACTGCAGCTTGCCAAATGCAAATGGCCCAGACCCATGGCAGCAGACCAGCCCAAAAAATAAATAAAATAAGAAAAAAAGAAATCCTCTGAAAGCTCACAGCATTCTCCCACCCTTCTCCAAGGTATCCTGGCCATGAAAGCCCAGCAGCAAGATGTGCCAACAAGCAACAACTAAAGC